TGTGACCTCTCAGATTACTTGGTTCCGATGGCGCAGGCTTCACCGAGTGGCCAGTACTTCACTCCAGAGCTGAAACTACCCAAGGAATTGGGCATTTCTACTATGTTGCAGGTTGCAGGGTGTCTCCCAGTGTAACTTTTTACCTTTGTGCTTGCCATTGCTTCCTCAGCCTCACCAAACGGAGCATGACGACCCCATTTTTGAATTAACCCTGAAAGCTGAACTGAACTGGTAAGTCACCCTGCGTTCAACCCATTGTCAGCCAAGGTTCAAAGGAAATGGGGCACCGCTGGCACTTTGGCAGAAATGAAGATGACGGCTGCTTCATCCGCACTTCACCAATTGCAGGGTGATGGTTTCAAGGGTGTGGAACACCTTTGGGCAGGTGGCTGAGTTGAATCGCAAAACTATTGCAAATTGTTTATGGCATTGAAATTACATGTTGAGTGTTTTAATAGGATTACATGGGGCCCCCCTTTGAGTATTGTTGATTCCAGAAACCGGGTTTGGAGTTTTTGCCAACATTATCCGCATCCCAGGTTGCTTCTTTGTTTTGGGCATGGTGATCATGAACCTCACCCAAGACCTGGCCTGGCTATGCATGGGGTTCAGACGGTGGGGTGCGCAAGTGATTCCCCTCACTATCCGCCGGGGTTAGTTGCTTTTAAATTTGGTACCATTGGTCCGGTGTCCAAGAACAAGCCCGGGCAAATTGCCCAAACTTCCTCCAATCATTTTGCGCTGCTCTTCAGCTCCCTAAGTCTGGAAAGCAACGCATCACCAGAGCATTGGCGCAATTTTTTTAAGCACTCCCCTTTTACCATTCTTGCCCTTCTTCCCTGTGCCCTCTGGCTTTGGAATTTTGTTGGCTTAGCAAATGAACTTCAAATTGACCTCAGGCGGTGTTCACGGTTGCAAAGCCAGTGGTGCAGCAAGGGCGACCCGCTCTTCCAACATGGCTCTTCAACAAGACCGTGGACCTAGACAACCAGACCTACCTAGCTTGCTGTGTGCAGCCTGTGGCCCCAGTTTTTGTTGAGGAGCGCTACCGGGGGCATGTTACAGTGTTGAAGCCGGTTACCCCTGTGGAGCCCTTGATGAAAGCAGCTCTACGTTCTTGCAAGTGTTTCATCGACGCCTCCAATTTGAAGTTCATTTGCCACGCCAACAAAATTCCAAAGCCAGAGGGCACAGGGAAGAAGGGCAAGAAGGGTAAAAGGGGAGTGCTCAAAAAGGATTGGGCCAATGCTCTGGTGATGCGTTGCTTTCCTGACTTGGGAGCTGAAGAGCAGCGCAAGATCATTGGAGGAATTTTGGGCAATTCGCCCGGGCTTGTTTCAGATTCGAATGTTGATGAAGTGTGTGAAGAGCTCAATCAGTTGGATGATGAGAACAGGCGTGCCTTCTCCAAAGTGGATACCATGGCTCAGAAGATTCAGCACTACGCGTTCGAAAGCAAAGTGAGGGAAGATGCACTGAGGGCTGGACGAGGCGCAGTAGACTTTTATCTTTTAAGTTTTAAACAAACAAGTTTAAGTACAAATCAGTTCAAGTTGGACCTAGTCGTAGTTACATTTGTTTGAGAGTCGTCATGAATCAATGAATGACAAAGAATGAATGAATCTAATCAATCAGGCAAAGAACTAAACCATATAGAATACCACGACTCCCGGGCGTGAGATTGATTAGTTAGTTTTTGGGTTGTTCCTATGGATATTTTCTTAAGTCTTAAAGTCTTAAACTAATAACAATAAATAGAAAGTTCTTTAATTATGTCGCTTTTTTGTTGGTTTTATTACTTAATAGCTAACCCTCCAGACTCCAGAACTGATCTGAACTGTCAGTCACATGTACCACCCTTGACCAGGTGAAAGCTCTGTGCCCTATGCGCCAAAGAAGCACATGACGCCTTTGGAGCTGTAACTCACTGAAATTGCACTTGCTTTGATATGCTTTCGGTATAGTAGACATTTGCCTTAGTAGCTGCAATTGCCATCTGCTAACTGTGTCATGTGTTCACCCACAGAGTATTAATAGTATGAACCTCTTTTTGGCAAAGTGAGACAAGCCTACCCTACCTACCCTGGTTTCGAGTTTCACTGGCCCAGGAGACCATTGATTCCTGGAAAAGGGCTTCTTGGCAATTGCTACATCCAGCGGAACCCAGCACAGCAGACCTATCAAGCTTTCTACCCGAAAAAAGGTGGACTCTTGAATTCACAATGAGATATATATTCCTTGTCGTTCACTGTTGAAACTGTTGGTAGCCTAGCTTACTGACAACCCTTTGAATCCACCAGTTTGGGGGATCAAGTGGTCCTGGCCCACTTGTGCGGTACATGTGCCTAGGTGACAAGGTCTCCCGTTGTGCTACATGGGGCGGCGTCCGCAAAAACATGTCGGAAGCAGAAGCTCTACACGCTTGCTTGAGCAAAGTTTGGGATGTGCATGACCTGGAAGAGAACGCTGCGAACTGGGTTCCTGGTGAGTCGAGGCCTAGTGTTGGGCCATGAACCAAAAAAGTGCACCGGGTTTTGAAGTTAACCTCCTAATCCATCTTGGAAGTTTCTTTGGACTGGGGTCAGCTCCCTTTGACTCACCTTCCGCTCGCCGCCCGTCTCAGGCCCACGCTTGCTGATTGTCAACGAACAGTCGCTGGCTTTTTGGAGCCAGGGGCCGCGAAACACACCGCGGCCAAACCAAGCGGAGCGCATGGATGAAAACCAGGGGTTTGATTGCATCGGAGTTGATGGGAATGGAGTCAATCAGTGATTGGGATTGGGTGGCTTCATCTGGATAAGCTAGTCAGTGTCTATCAGGGCTTATTAAGCCTCTATTAGGGCCATCTGGATAAGACCCTATTAAGTGCTTAACCATGGGTGGTTAAAGCTTATTAAAGGCTTAATAGGTCCTATTAGGATCTTAATAAGGATGCACACTTCTTGAGGCTAATCGAGGAGCAAACCCTAAGCACCATAGCCCCCCCCCCCCCCCTCACCCCCCCCCCAACCCCCGTGATTATTGGACGGATTGAAATCAATCAGACGCGCAGCGCGAACAACTGTGCGGCTAGCTTTGGTCAGGTTTTGGCCCACGCCGAGTCCGTGCAGCAGCAGTATTCTCGGATGCCCTTGCTGCTAACCCCGTCCGCCTCTCTGCCCTTGCCTGCGGAGGCAACGGGGTGTTTGCAAACTGTTTTGAAAAGCCTTGTATTGTAGGTTTGATGCCTGGTCGGCGTCGGGGTTCTGTGTAGTTTGTCTTTGGTCAGGCGTTTGTCTATTTCGCGAAGGATGAAATACAAATTACTTCACTTCGAGAGATCCCCACCATGACATGTCTATCCACTATAACATGAACATGTGGCACATACTTTTGTGTTCTGAAATGCTCACAAATAGCTGCCGCGGTTTATATTGGGATGCCTGGCTTGCTCACTATCCGATGATGTGGAATGCCACACGTTGCTAGTTACAGTTGCCTATACTAACATATGCTACTTGCCTAGGCTCACACATGCACATACTTGCTGTGTGGTGTACGTACTTGCTGTGTGATGTCGCCTGTGTCCCAAGCCTGTTTAGAAACAGCTGCTTGTGCAAAGAATCACAATTGCCAGATGTGACTAACTAACATTATTGCAAAAAATGCACTTCGAGATACTTCGAGTGATCACCCCAACAAGACAGTCACAGAGAACACATAGTAATCTACAAAGAGCTGGCGTTTGAGGTCCGGCGGGGAACACTGCCAAGCGGAATTCGCGGTTGAGGCCCCGCAGGGAAAACTGCCAGCCGGAGCTCGCGGTTGAGGTCCGGCGGAGAACACTGCCAAGCGGAACAGCTGGCAGTCGAGGGGGGAACGCCGCCATCCTACACTTGTGGTTGAGGTCCGGCGGGGAACACTGACATGAGGACGAGGCGGAGGAGGAGGAGGACGCAAAGGCGGAGGCGGACGCGGAGGAGGAGAAGGAGGAGGAAGGCAGCTGACATAAAACCTAACAACCCTCACTTGACAGGCGGGAAAATATTTACCTACTGTACTACAATTGGGGTGGCTTGAGGGATCAATGCAGGTGAATGTGCTTATTTGCATACATGGATTGTAAGGGTGCTTTTTTTCTATGACTGTCCTGTCCAGGCTTGCCGGTCGGTGGATCACAGTTGGTCTTCCTATAGCAAGCATGAAGCTGATAGAGCAAGGTTATATCTATATAAGAAATTTGACTTTAAGCTGCCAAGCAATTTGGGCACTGATCTGGAAGTCTGAAAGCCTGACAGATTGGTCCATTTCCTCGTCATGGCTTTGCGGATCATATGACTTACTCACATGACTTACTTTTTTCTGGCCTTTGGGTGAATCTTCTGGGGAATATCTTTTTCCTGGCTCAGTATTTTCCAAAAATCCAGCTCGTTGAGTACTGCTTTTTCACTTGGACCTCCCATTTGAGAGCCCAAAACACAAACCCGGTCGGAGGTCGCGCCCGGTCGCTTTTTCCGGTCGCTTAACACCTTCTCATCAGACTTTGTGCTCGGATCCCGGTGAGAATCAGTTGGATTCGCCCAGGTGAGTGGCAGATCGTTCACCATCCTGAGGATGTCCTTTGGCCCCAAAAACAAATTCTCTGAAAATACTTTCACCTCCAAGACCATCCTCAGGAGGTACCTGGACCCTATGGGCTGCCACTTACCGGGATCTATGCTCCATGGAATCCATGGGACTGACATCTTTAAAGCGACCTCTGAAAGGACATGCAAAGATGCCAGTCCCATCGTCCTTTTCTGGGATTGTAAGGGTGCAGAAAATAAGTTCACATATTTTCACGAATCACCTCATCCCAGTGCAATGTCCAACTCTGTGGGTCTCACGACCCGAACGTCAAATCATATCAAATTTTTCTAATTGGGGAGGGAAGTATTCCCTGGTCCAAGACACAGGGTGCTTTGTGTGTGTGTCTTTTCCAATGTGTCTCCATGTGCAGCCACTCGGAACCACTCGCTCGCAGGAGAGCTGGGCAGCTCGGTGTTGAGCCTCCCTCCAGTGAGGCCGAGTTTCGGTCCGATGAACTGTTGTCGTAAGTACCTTCGAAGGCTGTAAGTGATTGGACATTGATGATCATTTATGTAGGTCTGGAGGCTGTGAACTGGATTATATTATAGGATCATCTAGGGAATGGAGGTCAAGTGGCCGGGTTTGATGGGTCGTGTTTGGGAGGACTGACGCTTGACTTTCAGAGATTTCAGCTGGAGTGGCACGTCAAGCGAAGCGAAGTGACGTCAAGCGAAGCCCACCGGGGTCAGGTGGATCCGACAACACAGACAGATTCACATTGGGTGCGTAATTTCATTGGGAGACCCTCCCAGGTCTCTCAGGTGGGCTTCCGACCCTCTGAAAGAAGAACGAAGAATAGACTAGTCTACCCAGCCAGGGCCACGTGGTCTCCCTATTGAAAGCTCGCGAAGTTGGAGCGAATTCACCACCTCTTCGGTCTTCGGAAGTCCATCACATGGTCGAGGCCGTTGTTCCATCCACGGTCGCCATCCGATGAGCCATCCCTGCAAGGCAGAACCTTGAAAGCATGTAAACACCTGCATTCCGACATTTATGGGATTGAATATAGAGCTTTTATCAGATGATTTTGTAAAGAAGAAAAACATGGAAAGATAAAACCCAAAATTAGAATGAATCATAGTTAAAATATTATACACTCACTTGTCTCGCAGTCTTGAAAATACATTCACTGGCACCCAGCCGAGACTGGGCTCTGACATCAAAAACGCCCTTCTGGTGCATGTCGGGCAGTACGTCCTGTTTTCGTTCTTTGCTGCAGTGTGCCCGGAACTGTTTTAATTACTTTGGTCTGTTGCGCGTACCTCCATGGACTTCAAAGTTGATATTAGATTCAATTTCGCCCTGCTTTTCCGCTGTGCCTTTTTGTGTTCTCCAGGTCCTTTGGCGAGGCAGGGAGGGCCCTGACTGGCCATAGAATGAAGTGATTTTGTCTCAAGTGATGCAGTTCAAGTCCCAGCTGTGTCAGGATTTGACATTGGAGATTAATTATAGTTGTTGGGGAAAGAGGTGTATATATTATGTGTTTGCTTTTCACATTCAACAAGTTTGACACGTGAGTGCGCTGCAGTTCCTCGTTTGCAGTCTCAATGTTATGTTGTTTTGGCGTTTGCACAGGCAGCTTCGACAACTTTTCAGCCATATATACCTAGATCTTCAGTCCGGCACTTTTACAGGGTCCGGCGCCGGACTTCCAACTCCGGCGTTTTTCTGGATTTGGTCCGGCGCTTTTTCCAAGTCACTTTATGTGGATTCTCAAGGCTTTGCATTCTTTGTGGTCTGCATTTCTTTGAAGTTAAACCCACTACTGATGCAATGATTTTGTTTGCAAAGTGTGCTCGTTTGCCTGTTCCGCTGTTTTCTCATTCCACCGGTTTCAGCATGGTTCACACTGGATCAATCAGATCCGTTTAGCTGATCTTCCAAATGAAATCGGATGAAGCCGGTACAGTGCGATGCACCTGTTGAAAGACCCAAGTGGGTGCACCTAAGCTGAAAGAGCATAGGCAAAAATGCACAGTACTCCCATTGTTTCAGGATGTCGGGGCGCTGGGATATAGTTCTAGCTGCGCAGGTTTGCAGAGCCTGCCGGACACGTTTTGGGCTGTGGAACATGTGTTGTTCAGAATCTCAATGTTTTGCAGAGAGTTGTCAAAAAATTGCACGTCGTAACTCCGGCGTAATCTCCCGTAATTCCGGCGTAATTTCCCGTAACTCCGGCGTATTTTCCCGTAACTCCGGCGTATTTTTGTTGGACTGAGTGTTCTGCAGGCTTTGATTGTGAACAGTTTTTCACAGAAGAGTTTTTGACAGGAACCATGAGTTCTGCTACTTTATTGGGGGGCCGTCCTGAGGCAAGCTTTAAAGAAACATTAAGAAGCATGAGAATCATGAAGAGCAACCCACTTTGTAAAAAAACACTTGAGAGACACGGTTGCAGAGAAAGAGGGGTTCCTTGCCACATATTCCTTGGTTTTTTCTTGGAAGTCTTTGCTTGGGCACAAGTTGTTTTTGTTTTGTGATTTCTGCTCCATTCGGAAGATGGGCGAGGGCAATGGGAACGGGAAGGTTCGAGTGTGCTCCAGAAAAACTACTCGCGGCGCAAAGGCAGTTTGCTTGTGTATGATCCAACCTTTTATCATCTCTGTTTTTCAGAATCTTGGATCCGGATGTTTTTTCAGGTCTCCGGCGTTTTTTTTCGGAATCCGGCGGAAAATTTTGCCGGATTGAGGTCCGGCACTTTTTTCCGCCCAAAGGAGGATCCAGGTATATATATATATATATAGGCACAAAATAGCAGCCGCGTTCTCTACAAAGCCAGGCTGATCAACTTCAGCTGCCTTGCTAAAGGATTATTTATCATGTGTTGTATTATTGTACAGTTCATTTTCCTTGGCCTAAGGGCACCTTGAGAAGGGCGGGTTGTTGCTCATGTTCGCTTGCAACGTTGCAGCGGAGCCCACATGCTTTCTCAAGATGCAAGAAACGACCACATCGGTAATCAACCTAGTCTAACGATGAACCAATTTACCTCTTGGAACTGTTCTAAAGGATCTCAATTGCCGGAGCAATCATGTGTTTCTGGCCGTTTGGGGTTTCCAGGCTGAACAGACCCTTCCTCCAGCAACCTCGTCACTCCTTTTTGTCCACGTCACGCGGCGGCGGCTGACTTCGCCGCCCCCGTCTCGCCATGCTGCTGCGGTGTGGCGGTGCCCAGGCGACTTCGGGAATTCAACACAAGTTGATGTCCTGTCCAGCCGAAGAAGATGGTGCCCAACCAGTCAGTCTTGAGGTAAACCTCTCCCTATATATATATATATATCTATATAAACAACATGTGGCTGTGAGTCAGAACCTCTCCCTCTATATACCTGGAGCCTGAGTGACCCCTGTTTTGGAGGATCAACTATCCGAAATATTGTCCTTTCCCATCAAAACAGAGGTCAGTCAGGCTCTAGGTATATATAAATCACACCATTATTGGATGACTAAACCATGTTTTCGGTCCACATCCCTTATAAAGGGATGCGTTCGACCCGGAGTCAATCAAGGTGCGATTTGGACCCCTCACATGGCCGCGTCGAAGAAAACCAGGTTTTTCCTGCTGAGACTTGGTCGACAGCGGAGCCGAGTGGAACGGAAGACATCTGAAGACCAGTTTCTTGACATCTGAAGACCAAACAATCTAGTCGACAGAGTCTAGCGAGTCTACAGAGTCTTGGACAACGATTTTTCAAGAGAAACAAAAGGCAAGAACATGTGTTCTGTTACGCGGGTCTTCCATGGTGGGCAATTCCACACCAATGTTTGATCGTGCTTGGTATACTGTCATTCCTTTTCAGGATACACTACTGCCTGGTAAAAGGTTCGAATCAATGGGGATGAGGTTTGGTTTGGTTGTAGAAAGTTTTATCTCTTTCATAGAGTCTTTGGAACGCAGACACTCCAATGCATGGTATATTTACCTACATTGAGGTGGTGCCAGAGGGGTCAATGGGGCGGCATATATGGCAGTCCGAAGTGTCTATGGAATGTACTTTCTCTCCCTCAAACTCGGAAGCGACCCGGTCAGCCTGAGTCTGACCGGTTCCTCTCCGTCGTTTGGCTCACTTGGGGTTCCCTCACAGTCGCAAGGACGAAGGAACCTCCTCAACCATCCCATGCTTGCTCAGTCGCTTTGAACCAGGTGGTTTGAGGGTTCCAATGGGTTCCGAGCCTGGCTGTTCCGCGACCGTTCGTTCAACAGAGACCCGACCACCAAAAATTCGTTTAAGCAGGTACGTTTCCACGAATCTTGAGCGTCTTCATTGGCGCAGGACTCATCAAGTCTCTGGGCCCCCTGCTTTTAAATAGAGAAGGCAACGGGCTACCCTTGACTCCAAGGTGTACCCGAAGGGAGGCGAGAGTCCAGCCTCCATCTGGAAAGGAGGCGCCCCCCCCCCATCCTGCCCGGAAAAGGGGTTGCGAAGGCTCTCGAGCGAAAGCTGCGTTTTGGTATCTTGTGATGTTGTCTTTGGAAGTGCTCTTGCTGCGAATCGCCTTGGCAGGGCTGCACAATGTGAATCTTTATGTGCACAGATTTCGCGGCAGGGGCAGCATTTGTGGAGCTTGAAGCGCAGAATTCGTGGCAGGCACAGCACATTGTGGACCTGGAAGTGTTGAGGTGGTGACTCACGAGAAGGTCTGCGAGGAAGTGTTGAGCATGTCAAGAGCCGGAGGGGATACAGCAGTGATCAAGCAAGGCCGTTGGCCGTAGTTTCAATTCAAGGCAACGTACATGGTGTTGCAGTGTTGGTCAAGTAAAACAGTAGTTTCAAGGCAACGTACAGGTGTTGCTCAAGCAGGCGCAGCGCTTCGTGGACCTTGAAGCGCAGATTTCGTGGCAGGTGCAGCCCTTTGTGACGCAGTACTTAGTGGGCCTTGACGTGTAGATTTCGTGGCAGACGCACAGAAATGTTAGCCATCCTGGTAACTTGGTGACCTGGCAGCCTCGCAAACATGCCAGTGTTCCGTACCATCGTCCAGCCGCACCCTGGCCCAAGGCCAACACCAATCCAGGCCCCAGTGCTGCACAGAAGGAAAATGTAGAACTTATAGGCAGAAGGTAGTGCCAATGAGTAGTGCCCATGAGTGTGCACATGGTAAATACTGGTAGTGCTTGGACCTCTTGGCAGGAGGTAATCCAGAAAGAGTTGCAGAGAGTAAAATTTCGCCTTTTAGCAAGAAGTCCGTCAAGCAGTCACATGACTGCCAAAAACATCTCAGAGCTCGCAGCTTTGAACAAAAAAACATCATCAAACAATTTGATACATCTCACCTCACTGCCAGTGCTGCAGGTCGTGCTGCCAGTCCCACGGCCCAGACTGGCATAGGAATGATGCTGGCGGTTGGGTGGATAGCACAGTACTTTGTGGACCTTGAAGTGCAGATTTCGTGCCAACCGCAGCAGTTTTTGCAGCACATGTGCTCCCATATCTGTGCTCCTCGAGCCATTGGATCGATGTTCATCCCACACCAACCACCATGGCCACCAACCACCGCTGCAGGGCGTTCCACGCTGCTGTTCCTTCGGCGTGGTCCTTCCACGTTGGTCGGGGCACAGGCGGCGCTGGGTTGCTGGGCACCGCTGTCCCTAAACACTCGTCGTTGTTCATTTCCTTTTGCATTGCCCAAATTAGCTTGTCTTGATCAGGATCTACAAATACTAGAGAGTGACAGAGAGTGTAAGACAGGGGTGGTTGGAGGGGTCAAGGTATAAGTAGATCTTTAAAATGTGCCAATCCCAGAGTGTCTGGGTTTTGTAAATGGGCGTCTTCGACCTTGCCAGATCCGCCAATGGCGCAGGCGCTTCGCCGCTGAGTTCCATGAGGAGGCCGGGCGACGCGCTGCAGGATGACGCCGGTGTCCGGAGTTTTGGTTGGCTTCGCGAAGCTTTGGCAAATTGACCTGGGATTGCTGGCTTTGGATTTTCTAAGCACTTACTCAGTGAGTGGATCACCTTGAACCTTTAATGGGACATGTTCTCTTGCCATTCAAGTCCATTAGGTGGACAATCTATTTAACCGTAATTTTATGTTCCAGGGAGTGAGTCGGTTCAATAAGACACATCACGTTTGTTAGAAAGCTCCTGGCTGGCACAGCCTGTTGGAAGTGTTCATTGAAACATATAGAGTATAAACCAGGACCCAGGACCTTCCGATCGATCCGTGGTTGAGTTTGGACCAATCTCTCACAGACATGACCAATGGGACATATGCATGTTTAACCACATTCACCCTATTTCACCCCCCCCAAAGAAAAATTAACCAAATGCATGTTTAATATTTACCAGGAGTCACAAAGGGGTGCCTATTGGAGGATAGGGGTGCCCATTATCCACTTACTTAGAAAA